CTCATATAACAGAAATTACATTACATACTTATCACTACAGGAAAAGAATGAGTAGCGTCTACCACCTCACCTAAAGCCAAGACCAGAACTTTGACCATCATTATGCCTTGAAGACTAAAGATTGCACTGTGTCAAAGAAGGTATCGGCACAGTTATATATAGTGCCACGAAGGTCCTTTCCCCGAGGAACCAAGGATGGCACAGCTACCCCGAAGACGCCTCTCCAGTCCGACCTTTTCCGAAATGCCCCTCTCTCACGGATGCGTGGGGGGGGGGGGGAGGGGGGGGTCAATACAAGGCGCGTCTCTCTGTTTTTGCTTCACAGGAGAAACACTTCTGGTGAGTGATTCAACACCCTGCGCTCGCTACGCAAACTCCGCTGTGTATGAACGGAAACGTTTGTTGGATTAACAGTGATGTGGCAAAAGGAAAAGAAGGTTAAAGTTATAGTCGGTGTAAGGAATTGCGATTTGGGGTGGGTCTAGTCTTCTCTGAATGTGTCAGTAAGAATTTGACCTTAATATAGATTTTTTTTCACGAAAATGTTTCGATCAGTGTTGGAATATATATATATATATATATATATATATATATATATATATGTGTATGTGTGTGTGTGTGTGTGTGTGTGTGTGTATGTGTGTGTGTGTGTTGTGTGTGCGTGTGTGTGTGTGTGTGTATGCGAGCACACAATGTATTGTCATGTATAAATAGTTCCTATGGGATATGATTTCTTTAAGACGATAATTATCGTCACCATGAGAGAACGGAATCTTGTTTGTTTCCTTAAAACAGACGCTTAAAGATAAACCAGCTGACATCTACCCACGCCCTCGGCCTACCCATACCTCCCCTCCTCGCTCTCCCCCTTCAGGCATGTAGAACTGTTTGACTAATAGCCCTTTACATAATATAAGCATAGCCAGTGTTGGAGAGATGCTGTGGCATCTTACCCTGGCTTTTTACAGGGCATGTACAGTCTTCTATAAATGTTCTCAACAAATCAAATCAATCTCCCCCGGAATAAGCTCTGACACTTCTTACTGATAATCAGTCTCTTTACCCAGAACGCAGGATCCAGTCTCCGGGCTAGACTTCATGGGGTTTAGATCTTACTTGTTTCGTTAGTTCAGACCCGGTAAGAACCCTTTCCCTGATGTAAATGAATGGCTGCGACTGGCAACTATTAGATATGTTTATTGTATCGTTTTTAATCTACTGAGATCCTGCGTTATTTGTTGTTGTTTTTCATAATCAAGGATGTTGGTTTAATGAGAGCCGCCGTGATGCAGATCGAGAGACTGACTTCGTTTTGAAACTTTTTGGGTGGCAACGAACAGGAGAGAAGACGTGTGTTGCGTTCTCTCTATCAATCCATCCCTTCTCTCTCTCCATCCCTCCTCCTCTCCATCTACCTTTCTTTCCCCCCCCCCCCCCTCTCTCTCTCTCTCTCTCTCTCTCTCTCTCTCTCTCTCTCTCTCTCTCTCTCTCTCTCTCTCTCTCTCTCTCTCTCTCTCTCTTCTCTCTTTCTATTCTCTCTCTTTCTCTGATTCTGCTCTTCTGTCTATATTGATATCTCTTATCTGATTCTCTCTCTCTCTCATTTCTCCTCTGATTAATGATTCACTCTTTCTGGTGTATGTTTTTATTACTGCCTGCTTAACTGTCCATCTTTTTATCTGGCTATCTGCCTGTCTGTCTGCCTGTAGCTATTTATCTGTTTAGGAGGAAATGAAGGAGGGAGAAGGGAGACGGAGGTGAGGAGAAGGACGAGAGAAGAAGTGAGGGAAAGAGATAGTCGTACAAAGAAAATCTATATATTTTTAATAAGTATGCATCTCGTAAAAAAAATAGTGTGTTGCTTACCTTTTTTCTTTTGTGGTGCAACTTTACCCATTGATCTTTTTTATCTGTTTATCTATCCTTCATGTCTGCATGGCATAATATTTCTTGTGAGATCACACATGCACAAACAAACAAGGAAATGCACGTCCAAGTACATATATTATCGTGTGTGTTTGCATATTTTTCCATGGGTATTTTTGCTCGAGAGAAGTGGGTATAAACCTGTCCAGTTAGCAAAGTAATCAATTTCACTCGAAAAAGGGTCTTATTTACCTGCTCCGACCGAGAAAACTTACTGCTTTTTCGTGTGTTGTTCCTGTGGCTTTGCTGTAGTGACAACTAACGTCTTATTTGTTGAACTAACACGATACTGGCTTAATAAGGAGACTGTAAATTGTTAAGAGAGATGGGTAGATTGATAAGGAGAATGAGAGAGAGAGAGAGAGAGGGAGGAGAAGGAGAGAGAAAAGGTAGAGAGAGAGGCGCCGTTAAACATAATCCTCTTCACTCCAGATTTGCCATACCGTATCATAAATAAACGATTCTTTTGCAGATGGTAGCTTTATTTACAGAGCATAAATTTATCACATGAAGCATAATGAGCTTTATGAGGAATATGTACAAACATGTGCCTGCGTCTTATTCTCGTCATAAC